AGCCCTGCTAGACAAACCCCCCCCCCAGTTGTCTCTCTAATTTGACTCTGGGTTCCCACGACCGTCCCAAGTCTCTGCCTGGCCCTTGGAACAGCCCCATAGCAAGACATTTTTTGTGGGGAGGCAAAGGGGGGGGCCATGGTGGCTAATTAAATTAGTGAATAAAAACACCGCACAGCCCTGCCCCCCTCCTCCCTCAGAGAGAGGCTCTCTACAAAAAGCGGAATCAGGCTGCAAGGCCAAATCCACACACACCCAGAGGCCAAGCGTGCTTGCATGCAGAAAGCTAGCATGGGAGTCTTCAGGCTAGCCCGTTGTCTGCCATGCTGGATTTCCAGGGGAGGCTGCTCTCTCACCCGAAGATAACAGCTCAAGGGGCTCCTGAGGAGCCCTGCAGGAAGTGCCTGGAGCCGGTGAGTTCCCTTCGCCAGCCAAGCCTGCCAAGGGAGCAAGAGGCCAGGAGGGGCCCCCGGCCACCTGCCTGCCTGCCTGGTCCTCCCGGGCCTCCCTTCGTCTCCAGCCCGCTCTTTTGCCCCCCCCCCCCAGCTGGCGCAGGGCAGTCTTGGGCCTGCAGATTCACCCACTGCTTGGAGGGCCGGGTTTACAGTCCATGGCATGTTGTCACCTCCTTGCATTCTGAAGGGGCAGCAGGAAGCAGGCAAACCACCCCCCTGCCCCATCCAGTGTGTGGCTCAGAAGCGCGCTCTGCCCACGCTTGAGAGCGTGTGCAGAAAGGCTGAGGGAGGATAGGAAGGCACCCGAGATTGGACTGCAGCCCAGGGGGGAGAGAGGGGGGGGAAGGCGCCTCGCCTGGGCCAGCCCTTCCCCAGTGAAGAGAAGAGTTGCGAGAAATGGAGGCGTTGTGAACTCGGGAGGGGGCATCGCCCCCATGGGCCCCGTGCTAGCTATGGCTTTGCCTTGGAGGGTTTTTTCCACTGGCTTTTCTTTGGTACATGGCTGCCAACTGGTCATTTTAGGAATTACCAGCCGAGATGGCCAGTCTCCCCAGCTTCCCTGCTGCGTTGCTGTTCTGAGGCTCCATGTAGTTCCTGCATCTCCTGCTACCCAGCAGCTGGTTTCCACAGGGACAGCTTACCAGGGTTGCACATTCCTGGGGAATTAACTGTTTAACTTCCAGCTGCCCCCATAGTGCCCATTTTGAGCCGTGTGCTTGAACGGTGGAAGTCTCTGTGGTCCAGAGAACAACCTTTTCCCCCCTGTCAAGTTACAGCTGACTTCTAGAAGCCTTTGTGGGTTTCTCAAAGCAAGAGACAGCTACAGGTGGTTTTCCAGTGCCGCCTCCCTCTGTGCCACAACTCTGGTATCCCTGGGAGGTCTCCCTCCCTCCCATCCAAATACTAACTGGGGCCAGCCCTGCTGAGCTTCCGAGACCTGACAAGACAGGGCTATCCAGGTTAGGGTGGAGAACAACCACCAGCATATAAAGTTGTGAAGAAGTTATTAAAAGAAAGGTGGAAACATGCAGTTCCCTGTCTCTCAGCCCTGTACGTGCCCTACCTGTTCTTATTCTAATTTAAAAGCAGCAGTTTGCTGAAAGCTCCTCATTTCCTTGAAGTCTGTGTCTGGGCTGCCGGCCCTTTGCTCCCTGTGGCAATGGCAGCCATCAAGATGGAGCTCAGGCGTGAGAGATCCTTCCTTCAGATGGAGTCTGCCCAAATGGACCCCTCTTCCCCCGTGCCCGGAGATTTTATCTCTCCCGTGTTCTCACCCCCTTGTGGGTTGAGGAATCCTTTCCTGAAACCGCCAAGAACATGAAATCTTACCTCTCCCCCCGAAGTCTCTTTGTGCCGTCTTCTAGGTGTCAGATTTCAGCATGCTATGCCAGGGCCATCAGCGTTTCCACAGCTTTGATGGTGGGTACAGGATGATGCTTGGGAGGAACGGTCCCTTCCCCTGCCTGTCTTTCTCTGTCAGGAGAGAGGAAAAAATGATTTGGAGTTGGGAGTAAGCAGTGAAGTGGCTAAATTTGCAGCTGACACGAAGTTGTTCAGGGTGGTGAGAACCAGGGAGGATTGTGAGGCACTCCAAAGGGATCTATTGAGGATGGGCGAGTGGGCGTCAACGTGGCAAATAGGGTTCAATGTGGCCAAGTGCAAGGTGATGCACATTGGAGTCAAAAATCCTAAATATAAATACACGTTGATGGGGTCCGAACTGGCAGAGACTGACCAAGAGAGAGATCTTGGAGTTGTAGTAGATAACTCAATGAAAATGTCTAGACAGTGTGCCACTGCAATAAAAAAGGACAATGCTATGCTGGGGATTATTAGGAAGGGAACTGAAAACAAATGTATCATAATGCCCCTGTATAAATCGATGGTGCGACCTCATTTGGAATACTGTGTGCAATTCTGGTCACCACACCTCAAAAAGGATATTATAGTATTAGAAAAAGTGCAGAAAAGGGCAACTCGAATGATAAACGGTTAGAACACTTTCCCTGTGAAGAAAGGTTAAAACACTTGGGGCTCTTTAGCTTGGAGAAATGATGGCTGAGGGGTGACATGATTGAGGTTTATAAGATTATGCATGGGATAGAGCAGGTAGAGAAAGGTACTTTTCTCCCTTTCTCACAAGACAAGAACTCGTGGGCACTCAATGAAATTGCTGAGCGGTTGGGTTAGAACAGATAAAAGGAAGTACTTCTTCACCCAGAGAGTGATGAACACATGGAATTCCCTGCCACAGGAGGTGGCGGTGGCTACAAGCATGGATGGCTTCAAGAGGGAATTGGATAAGCAATATGGAGCAGAGGTCCATCCGTGGCTATTAGCCACAAGGTACAGATAGGAACTCTTCATCTGAGGCAAGGGATGCTCTGTCTTCTTTGTGCTTGGGGGGGGCAACAATGGGAGGGCTTCTCGT